CAAAAATTAAAAAATGTTCATTTACAAAATTAGAACATGGATCACGGCCTCCTAGCCTGAGCTCCAGAGTGGTTGCCACCACCACATTCACAAAAAATGCCTTCTGTTTTGGAACAGGGTACCATCTCGCTCCTCTGCCCTTGCACCGTTGGGAGATCTGCCTGATGGTTCACTGCGCTGCCTGTGAACCTCCATGAGCGCAGAGATCTTGAGGTAACCAGTACATTTCATTTTTTTCTGTTGTTGTGAGGTTGGGGCAGAGAGAAGATGAGAAAAGCACAAGAGGTATTTTGGACAGAGGGCTCAGAAAAGCGGCAGTAAAATAGCAAAGGGGTGCAGAAGTACCAGCCGCTAGCAACTGGAAAATAGAGGACAGCTGGGGAAGTTTCGCACTATTTTCTGCTATCCTCGATCTGCTGATGGGCCAGAGGTTTTGATGTGGGTCTAAAACTCCACATTCTGACCCTCCCCACTGCCCTGTCATAGCGGGACAAGTGATGGGCTCACGGGACACACGAGGAACAAGGCAGCGCGTGCAGCCATGCCATACCAGAAAGCCAGTGCCTCTCCCTGTTACCATACTTGCAATAAAGTCCTAGAGGGTTTGGGAAAATCCAAGGAGAAGATTTTTGTTCTTTCCAAGATAAGGACGTTTCTTACATGGGATCTGGGCACCTGGACAGCACAGCACTTGGGAACCCATGTGGGATTTAGGAAGTCTGTGTCAGGAAATGCAAAAATCCAGGCAGCCTATCATAGCTGCTGTCTGCTGTGCCTCCTACTCTGGGTATTCCGCCTTTCTGTGAGCCACAGGCAGTCTCCGAAACTCATGGCAGGATGGAAAAGCCTTGAGAGGTCTGCCAACATCAGATTTGAAAAAATAAATTATTCCCTTATCAGCAGGCTTTCATCTGGTATGCTAATTCTAAAAATCTGCCATCCAACAGTTCAACTTTGCTTCACTGAGTATCTCACCAAGTCCCTTCTAACAAATATCGTTTATGATTTCTATGACACACTTGTTTTGCAGTGAAATTGTGGAGGTAAGAATCACTGGGTTGATTGACACCTAGTTATTCAATCAAACATACTCCTGCTAGTCACAGACCACACATCCCAAATTTGATGCTGAAACTACTTTTATTAGGCATTTTGGAGGCGGCTTGGGAAGAAAATCAGTCTTGTAATGAAAATCTTCACTATGTTGCAGCTACTGCAGCACCACAATACTATTTTCTTCCCTGCTGGCAATTTAGCAGCAGCAGTACTGAACACCAGAGGACTTCCCTATGGAGGGAGAGATAACAGCACACATTCACTGAGAGGATGAGGAGCTGGTTCCTTAACAATGGACGTATCATAGATGGATTTGGTAGTTCACAGCTGGTGAGCAAATTTTCGGCTATAACTCATTGTGCCTCTTTGGGTGGGAAAAATGGATTTCAAGTAAGTATTCCTTTCTGGGTCCATGAAAGATATAATGCAGGCAAGCTGAGTGGCAAATGTAGGAAGGCAAAAACAGTCACTCCACATCATAGGCTGCCGAAGCTAAGTAGTACTGAGAGCTGAGATACCAGGCCACAATACATTCATGCAAGGCAGTAATTTACTTTCCCAGGAAAAAACATGTGTTCTAAATCTGACACAACATTTTATAAGATGCTTCTCCTAAAGAGTGGGGACATGAAAATATCATCATCATGGCTCAGAAATGGAAGAAGGCTCAACTGATTTTCCAGAGAACCTATTTCTTTATCTCATCCCCTCTCTCCTAAGGCTTTAGCAGTTTTCAGTGAGAGGGTTTAGTCCAGATGTCTCTCTCAGGGAGATTCTGCAAACTTTGTAAAATACCCATAAGCAAGCCGAGAAGAGCAAGTCCCTTGATTGGCTCAATTATGCCAACCAGTGATGAAATCAAAGAGTCTCCTGACAGCTGCCATTTCAGATTATTTGGGGGATTCTTTGGGTGCCCAAGCTGAAGCATCCGGGATCACTTTAGACATCCCAGACAATATGAATAATCCACTTTGTGTCTGACAACTACTAATGCGTATCTCTGCCCTTATAGCCAAATAGCTGGAGCACAGGCAGTGAACATTACGGCAACTTAAATGACTTTAAACACTTCTAGTTTGGCACCTGAAGTACTTTGCTGGTGTTTGTGGATCACAGTGGAGTGCTTTCTTCCTTCTGTATCCTCACCTTGTACAACAGATGTGATCTCAGGAACCTGAGAAGTGGCAGCTACCTCTAGGTAGAGAAAGTCATTTAATTACAATTCTTCAGCTGCCATCTCTAACAATGGAGGGGTGTCTGGACTCTAAAGTCCCTAAACAAAACCAAGCAGCTCCTTTACCCAAAACTCCTTTTCCGCTCCCTCAAGATTCTTAGCAATGTCCTTTCATTTTAATCAAAAGGAGAATCAAAAACTCTTGTAAATGTTGTAATGGTTCAACCTCAAAGGCCCCACCAAATAATTCATCATTCTGCTCTTAAATCTGTATCTCTTTTTGCAGATTCCTCACTGCGTTTCACCCCAACATTTGTTCTCCTCTGAAATTTGCAGTTTTGGGAGGTGCTTAGTAGACCAAACAGACATTTTCTTCTGCCTTGAAGGAACTAGAACATTCAGAAATTTTTTAGGACATCACTATACAAGCTTTCTGGATAACTATTTCTATCTTGATTTTCAAGAGCAATTTATTCATTGAGCTTAACCTTATTCCCATTACAGCCAAGCTTCACAGATACTCTGGGGCAGTTTTGTTCTGTTTAGTTTCTCATGTTATTTCCATAAATTACTTGCAATTCTTATTTCTATTACTGTCAAAATCCACTTATTTTTGGCCAAACTAAAAGAAAAATAATTTTAAACCAAAACTTTGCATGGTTTTGGGCTGGTTTTATGATTATGATTATTATTACACTATAACAAAGCGTTACGTTACCTGTAAGTACACAATGGCAAGCTAAAAACTGGAAATACTGTTAACTCATGTTTATGAGAAATGCACTTATTTATGACCTTCTGCGCAGATCAAAGAATCATAGGCTGGTTTAGGTTGAAAGGGATCTTAAAGATCACCTAGTTCCAAATCCCTTTCCAAGGGCAGGGACACCTTTCACTAGATAGATTGCTCAGAGCTCCATCCAACCTGGCCTTGAACACTGCCAGGGAGGGGGCAGCCACAGCTACTCTGGGCAACCTGTGCCAGTGCCTCACCACCCTCATGGTGAAGAATTTCTTTCTTATATCTAACCTAAATCTAGCCTCTTGTAGTTTAAAGCCATTATCTCTTGGCCTATCACTACATGACTTTATAAAAAGTTCCCCCCCTTCTTTCTTGTAGGCCCCTTCAGGTAGTGGACCACAACAAGGTCTCCCTGGAGCCTTCTCTTCTCCAGGCTGAACAGCCCCAACTTTCTCAGCCTTTCCTCACAGGAGAGGTGTTCCAGCCCCTGTTCATTTTTGTGGCCTTCTCTGGTCCCGCTCCAACAGGTTCATGTCTCTCCTGTGCTGAGGGTTCCAGAGCTGGATGCAGGACTCCCAGCGGGGTCTCACCAGAGCAGAGCAGAGGGGCAGAATCCCCTCCCTTGCCCTGCTGGCCACGCTGCTGGGGATACAGCCCAGGATACGGTTGACCTTCTGGGCTGTGACCACATTGCCAGGTCATGACGAGCTTCTCATCAACCAGCACCCCCAAGTCTTTCTTCTGAGGGCTGCTCTCAATCCATTCTCTGCCCAGCCTGTATTTGCACTTGGGATTGCCCTGACTTATGTGCAGGACCTTGAACTTGGCCAGATACCACAGAGAAGGCAAAAGCAGCTTTTTGAAATGCCAGACTCACCTAAGTGCCAATGCCTCTGTTTCAGAAGCCAAGCACAAAGATTACAGTCCCAGTTTTCCCAGTGCAACCCCAAGTGAGACCAACAGAGTAACTGTGTCACTCTCTAGCACCTAAAATTCTTGACTCAGCATTTTCTACAAGAGCTTGTGTCACCCCGCCTGTCCTCTGGCCTCCTCTCCACTCCACCACTGTCAGACCAAACATGAGATCTCAGTCTTTAATCCTGTCAGCATTGACCATGGAAGATCAATGGCCCTCCCAGTATTCCATGACAACGTGAAGTTGGAAATTTTGTCTGTATTTTGAGAGAAAAAAAGAAAACTTTCTTTAAATTTTCTTAAGAAAAATAAATTATACACACAAAAATTGCCACCAAACAACCAGCAGCTCTCTGGAGCTCCTCAGAGGTCTGGTGTATTGAAAATATTCTCATTAGGTATGGATTAGTAGGCAAACTGCAGGGGAAAGAAGTCAAAGGTACAAGATAAATTGGGTTTGTTACAGCAGCTGTAATTTATCATCACAATATTGCCAACACAACTGTAGAGAATTATATATAAATTTAATAAAACAACTGCTATATTACATTTATTATTCTGGAGTCAGGTTTGGTTATCGTTCCCTCCTTGAGAAGAAGCCTTTTCTGCAAATAATGCCACTGAATCTGGCCATTTATATATTGGCCATTTATCTTTTAAACAACCACCTATATTACCTTATATGCAAATAATAGTATAAAAACCAGTGTATATCAAAATATTGGGAATGTAAAATTACACATTGAAGGTAAGAAGTGAAATGCTATACAGTTCCCAAGAGGTGACAGTTCCCTCTGATGTTCAACAAAGAAATATAGACAGCTGAAGCAGTGAGAGCTCTAGTTAAGCAAAATAGATATAAACATGAAAGACATCTCTTCTGGAAAAATAAACAATTAAAGTGCCATTGTCGTCCCCCCTGCACCTGTATAAACTGCTTGGGGGTTGTAGGAATGAAGGAGAAGGGAGGCTGAGAAGAGAATGCAGCCAGTGCAAATAAGCAGAATATTTTATTAGAGAGTTATCTCCTTCTTGCAAGAATGAGTGCTCAAATGGGTAATACCTTTCTGTGAAATCCAGGTTTCTGGCTTCATGTTAAGAAGAGGGTCTTACCTTATAGGATTATCCATTCTCGATACAGTGAGAAATGCTGCTAAGTTTGCAGTGTAGGAAGAGCACACGATGAGAGTGAAGAGCCACCAGCTTCCCATTACAATGCGCATAGCCACAGAATTGACAGTAGATTCACCTCCTACAAATAAAAAGACAAAATGAGTGTCTCTCTGCAGCTTCCATTTACAGTCACCTGCTGTGTGCCCTGGTACGTGAAACTTTGTTGGAGCTACCCCTCTACATTTCTGCTCCCCCTCCAGACTGCCCTTTCACTGTGAGAAAAGCACTGCTTCCGCTGAGACTGATAATTTAAAAACATTTTCTCCAGTCCACCTCTTGCCCTGGATACTGTCCTAAAAAATCACCCTTCAAAATATTTCCCCTCAGAATTATTGAGGATCAAATCTACAGAACATAAAAAATATTCTAAACAACGTTTAATGGTGAAGCAGGACTAATATGCAAGAATTAAATCATTAGTGTTCAGAATATACTAAAATTCTGTTTTCAATGACCATTTTAGATTTGGAAAAACCCACAAAACTGTACCATGGTTTGTGTGCTATCTCTGCCGTGTTTACATCTGCAAAGACCGAAGCATTACTGTCATTACTTGTTACACTTTACAACATTTCAAACAACGTGAAGTTTTCTTTCTAGCAGGCTTCAAGAACAGTTAGGCTTGAACATTGTTGGAGACCAGACCTTACCATACAGCTGATGCTAGTCACTTCAGCATACGTTTGTGCTGATTTTATCTTACTGTACTTAAACCCATCAAGGATGCCACCTTAATGAGATGAGGGACCAAGTTTCATAGCAATAGTAAGGATTTTCCAGATGAAGCTTTATAAGCTTGCCACCACAACGAAAAACTTGTAGAAAAAAGTTAACAACGTACCCATATGTTAGCATTCAACAAAACCTGCCTTCTAAGAACAGTACTAACATTACAGATACAGGACAAAACTGCATGGGCAGATTTTGCATTTATTTGCAAAAGTAACTTTGTTAATGGTAGCAATCCTACTGAATTCAATAGGATTAGTCCTATGCCTAGAGATCCCTGCGTGTTTAGTTACATGCCTACAAATCATTTTCCTATTCAGTTCAAAGAAACAAAAGATAAACCATCTCAGATTAGTTCAAAATAATATAAACTTCTAAAACTAAATTTAAACAATTAGAAAAGGTGCTAGTTTCAGAGTTGGAGAAGTGTAGTAATTCTGCATCAAGCAGCTCTGTAGCATATTTATCACACGATCATTTTCTCAAAGTGGTAAAGCCCGCGTGGAGTGGTTTTTCTGGACTTACTGAGAGATGGAAAAGCAGAAGGTAACCCCCTAAACTTACCTACCTCTTTCTACTTTTCATCAGCTGGGCTAATAAAACATGTTACCTCCCTGTATGGGCCTTCCCTTTCATCTTTAGACTGTTCTGGCCAAGACTAACATGTCCTGACCTGCTTTGCCCTAGGCAGAACATTTCTGAACATTCATCGGTGGTGGTTATAAGCAAGTAAGTACCTTGCTGAACAAAGGCGCCGTACACGACCCAGATGGCACTGTGGAGGGTGGAGGAAGCAGAAGGGCTTGGCTGGGAAGCGTTCTGTGCCCGGACTGCCTGGATGCGGTTCAAGACAAAGATCAGGACACCGACTATAGGGATGGCTGCAGCAATGCAAGCCCACACCGCAAAGTCAAAAGGAGCAAAGAGAGAGAAGATGTTGATTTTTTCTTCAGGCTTTTTGATTAAGATCCCAACGGAATAGTCCATGTATCGCTTGCTGAAGTCCACAACACTCTCTCGTTCTGGTGTTATAGTGATGGCTGAGATGGCTAGGTCTGCTCTCTGTGAGACAAACGCAACAGGTCAGATCTCTTCCTTTCACCATGAATTCTGCCAGCGTGAGCCTTAAGGAGAAGCTTTTTAAGAACCAAGTGACTCCATGCATTTCTTTCTATAATTTAACATGTTTATACAAATTAAAAGAAATTGTCTAAAAATAAAACCAGAATTAGTTTCATCATTTGAACACTAATTAATTGCACTGGTCTAAAGCAAAACAGTGAAGCATAATCTGTCAAAGTATTCTAGAACAAAATGCATCACCCTGACTCCTCACTGGAATGAGTGCAATTTATTTAACCTTTATCCCTCACTTCTTTTCCAAAGGATGCCTAGAACTCCAAACCATATTAACCTGATGCACTGCAGGCAATAACAAAGAAACACCATTTATTTAGCTTGTGTATCTGATAGCAAGGTACGAAGAGCTAAGGTTTGTTGTTCTCCCTGCAGAGCTGCCAATTGCCCATATTCATGAAGGGATTTCATATGACAACTGGGGGCAAGATTTTGTTCATTTTTTACAGTGAATAAAATGATTGCAATACCTGGAGGAATGCTCCAAAGGCAACTTAGTGCCTGAAACTCTTTTGTCCTCAACATTTAAAGTGCGTAGGGTTTACACACAGAGGGACCTTAAAGAGTATGCAAACTCAATAAAAGATAAAACAGAGGTTAATAAATAAGATTCCCAAAGCTTTTCCAGAGCTGCAATTAGATTCTGAATATTTTTCTGTCTCAATAAAAACAGTTCTGTTCAAGAAATAGAACCTAGTTTTTGCTTCCTATCTCTACATTTTGTGGGGAAAGCAAAGCAAATGTTAGGGGAGGGATCTCTGCTTTGAAATTCTTTGGAGTCAGCGGAAAAGCTAGTAGCAGAAATATCTTTAAAAAAATACCATAATAGATACCTTGTTTCTTCAAAGAAAGCAATTTCCAAAGAAACTTAACAGGATTTCTTACCACATTTTCAAGTCAATGAAATTCAAACAGCTTATGTCAATGAAAAAGAAGTAAAATATTCTTTATATTTCCTAGCGTCAACCAAGAATATCCCATTATCATGCACACATTTGCTACTGCTTTAATTGCTTCTATTTCCTCCTAAACATCTACTTACCAGATACTGAGCAGCCTACTTACTAGATAATGAGAAAGCTTTCACATTCAGTAATAACTCCACTGCACAAAAGTAACCTTTTCTACAAAGGGCAGCAACATGGAATATTAATTCCTTTGATTCTCCTTCTTGATTAACATTTGTCCCATGTCAGATAGCGAGAACATGAACAAAATACACTCTAATTTCATTCTCCAGGAGATTCTAAGCTACGGACTTTCCCCATTTACTTCAATGGAGTTCAATTAACTTACTCCTGATTTGCAAGACTGTAATTAAGAAAAGGAATTTGGTCCTCTCTGTTTTAAATGATCGAATAATCTTGAGACCAGTTTAAATTCTGGTCCTTCAAAACACTTCTTTATGGTATATTACTAGGGTCATTTTTCCTGTTTTGGAGTCAAACAGTTGATCATTATCAAACACACTGCCACAAAGTGACCCAGATAAAGTCATACCTGCAAACAAGTCACAAAGAAATAATGACAAAAAATAAAATACCAGTAATTAGTATTTTGAGAATACATTATTTTTTCTCTATTTTCTATAGTTATTTATTCACATACATATACATGTCCTGTCTTCGTATTCTTACAACTGTGTGAACACACAGATTTACACTGATATAATTTATGTTGACTACAGTTGGGAGTAAATAGAACAACAGATTCTCTAGCTCCTATCCTGTAAACAGGGTCTTAAATTGCGCAGTTTACACCACACTCAAACCACCCATAGCTCAGAAGTATTCTGCACTGGTGCATCCTAATTCATTCTCTTGTAACTTGGAATGGAAGCCAGGAAGAATTTAAAAAACACCCTTACCAAGTTTGACACCCTACTCCAAAGAGTGGGGTTTTTTCGTGTGGTTTTTTTGTTTGTTTTTTTTTTTTAATGCAGCTTCTTCTCTGTGTACCTTGTTAATGAGTTCTCCAATCATGCCATTCCAGGAGCTGTTTTGAAGCTGGTGTCCATATTTGCCATCAGGAGCTTGATATATCTCATACTTGAAGCCCAGATTCTTGGCAAGCGCATCCAGGACATCAATGGAAAATCCTTTATATCGTTTTGGTTGACCAAGTATGTTCTCCGCCACCATCACAAAAGGTTCTTCCTGAGAACAAAATAATATCTTAACTGATACTTGAAACAAGTTTTTAATTTGTTTCTCTTTGTGAAAGGATGCTTCCTGAGTTAATTCTGGACAACATGGCACATCTTTTGACACACTCAGAACCTTCTTGGCTTGTATCAGGAATAGTGTGGCCAGCAGGAGCAGGGCAGTGATCGTGCCCCTGTACTCGGCCCTGGTGAGGCCGCACCTTGAGTACTATGTTCACTTCGGGCCCCTCACTACAAGACAGACATTGAGGTGCTGGAGCATGTCCAGAGAAGGGCAACAAGGCTGGTGAAGGGTCTGGAGAACAAGTCTTATGAGGAGTAGCTGAGGGAGCTGGGGCTGTTTAGTCTGTAGGAGAGGAGGCTGAGGGGAGACCTTATGGCTCTCTACAACTACCTGAAAGGAGGTTGTAGTGAGGCAGGTGTTGGTCTCTTCTCCCAGGTAACTAGCGATAGGACAAGAGGCAATGGCCTCAAGTTGCATCAGGGGAGGTTTAGATTGGATATTAGGAAAAATTTCTTTACTGAAAGAGTGGTCAGGCATTGGAACAGGCTGCCCAGGGAGGTGGTAGAGTCACCATCCCTGGAGGTGTTCAAAAAATGTGTAGATGTGGCACTTCGGGACATGGTTTAGCAGGCATGGTGGTGTTGGGTTGACGTTTGGACTTGATGATCTTAGAGGTCTCTTCCAACTTATGATTCTATGGTTCTATGATTCTGAGACAAAAACTGTAGGCCATGTGGGATACTTTGAGGTATCCCAACTAGACACCAACGCTTCAGCTCCTGAGTCCTGTCTGTGGCCTTGGATCTTCCACAGTGCATGAGAAGAGGCAGAAACTCCAAAGGACATTTCAGCCCCCTAGCAGCTTCCTGGTGTCCGCAGGATGAACTGCTCTGTGAAGTACCTCCCTCTTCTCACTGACTATAAAGAAGGCACAGATACTCTACCTTGGATATTAAATTAAACACCAGTCCTACACAGGAACATTACTACTATCCACCTGTCTCAGAGCATATCAGATTTAGAAAGCCCTCTTTTACAGACAACGCTTAAACTTTTATCCAGGAGACATACTGAAACAAGAGCTAAAAAATTATGCTATTTGTGAATATTTGAAATTTTGAAAATTCAAAGAATAACCTTCATGGCTAATGTTTCCTGGACTATTTTATATTAAAGTATGTTTCGGAATCAAGAAGCAACATTTTGTGGTATGTTTTCATCAGGCATAGGCTCTCCTGCGGGGAAATGCCAGGGCTGCTGATGACACAGCCATCGCAGTTGGCCACCTTTGCAACCTGGTACAGACATTCTTGTGGAAGGGATCTGTTCACCTTGCACAGAAGTCACAGCACAACCTTGCCTGTCAACAGACAGAGGAAAGAAAACTGGAGGCTGGGGGAAGTGCCATAATGGTCTTACGTGGTACTTCTTATTTGTACCATGATTCTGAAAAAGAGGAACAAAAAGACACCACGTTCTGCAAGCTGCAAACTACAGTATTTTACTCAGGAATGCATTCAAGCTATAATTTGCCCCTAATTTAGCACTTAGCTGACAGAAGCTCTATTACCACTCTGGATACTAACAGACAGTAGTCCCAAAAGCATAACGATTTTTTGGAAAGACTACACCCTTCTAAAAGATTTAGTTTATCTCAATAGGAATTTAAGAGCTTGATGGAGAAAACACTTGATTAAATTTTACAGCCTGCAGTGTACAAGAGCCAAGATTAGATTATTGTAACTGGCCCATCTGATCTCAAAATCCATGAAATGCTGGAAACTGAGTATCCGAGTTAGAGTACAGTATCTGGAATGCACCCCTGTGCACTCAGGCCCTGTGCTGGTTCCATGCCCAGTAGGAATTACAATACAAAAAAACAGCATAAGCAAACAAACAAATGCTCTATATCTCTCACAGTGCACAGCTTCATGGAAAATAATAGAAGGCCATCGTTTATCTTCCTTGCTTATGTAACTGATCATCCAAAAATACAGAACTGAAAATGGCAGGGAAAAATACTGAGGAAGTGCCTGAAATACTCAGCTTCTTTTTATTTCGAGCATTCATTTCCTGAACTCAAATAGGATCATACCAAGACAGTCACCACTTTGAGTGTTAGTCCTTGTAAGTCATTGCCCAGACGTCGTTCTTGTAGACTACCATTCAGTCCTTTCTCAGAGTCCCACGTTGCCAACTAGAACAGAAAGTACAGTGAGTCTGAAGGACTGTTAGCCAGAAATCTTTTAGTATTTACATAAACATTTAACAGTAGCTTGACCAAATCCAGAAGTGATATAGAGTAGATGAGAAGTGTATGGTTTTTAACACAGAATCAGAATTAGTGAGATTCAGAGGACAGACATATGCCAGTTCCTTCCCTGAATGCATTTGCATCAATACCTGTAACATAACTGCTCTATTATCTGTAATATTTGTTATATTATATCACTTCAATCACTCTGATATGACATTTCTCTCCAGTAAGTTTATATTGCCTGACAGTCCTCAGGATTATCTGTGGTCTCACTATCCCACATGTCCCTCTCTGCTCAGATCCCCTCCTACTTTTCAAATCATTCCCTACTGTTTATCAAAGATCAACCTTTCTTCCTGCTGTATAACGTTCTTGTGCACTCATGGCCATAAATTCCTGACAGAGATCCTACAGTGTCAAACTGCCTCCTCTTCTCTCCTGGAATTTCTTCAGGTCCTATCTTAAGTTCTATTTTCTCTTCTTGCCCTACTTCTACCTCATCAGTAGAACAATGACAGCCTGTCAAATTGCCAGGCTCCTGACGATCAAATAGCTCATATCTACCAGTACTTCGCATCTGCTAGATGTACCTGGATGCATGTTTTCAGGATATCTCACTGGAACATTACATTCAAATATTTTATTTTTCACTTAAATATATCGCTTTAAAAATCAATTTTACTGCATTTCATGTAGACAAATGCAGTAAAACTCAATAGAATAGGTTCAATGGAAAAGTTAATCTTAAGTGACCTTTGGATTATTCAAACTAAAATATGCTCTTCAGCAGTAGCAGCAGTCAGATTCTCATTTTCCCTTCAAACAGAATCCATGGTGTCATTTTGCTCAGAAGAGTCATAAATAGTATCAAGTAGAAACTGTTTCTTTCTTTTTTTTCAGCTCTACTCTTAAACACCAATACTATGCACACATGTGGAAGCAGTGCTGTTAGCTGAAGGCATGCCCTGTAGAAATCAAACATAGTCCAAATGTGGTTGCTTCCTTCCAGAAGTTAATTTTCATGTAACAAGTCAAAACGTTCTTGGAAAGAACTTCTTTCACTGATCATGCCTATGGCTAGGTGTCCTACATGATTTATTTCTATGACTTCAGCTTTTTCCTGAAGCCTCAAAAATCATACCAACAAATAAAATGTGATGGAGAGATCTGTATAGTTTTATTTTTGTTTTGTTGCACCGAACTAATAAACAGAGAACAGGACATTCAGCTAATATTCAGCCATCATAACTATCACAACTGATGAAAATCATGCTACACTCAGTAAACCTTCAAAGCTGAGACACAGGGCAGGAAAGAATTAAGCTACACCTCCCTTTATCCAGCTGACCTGGAGGATTGAGGAGGAGAATGATTGAATAACATTCAGCTTTCTAATGACACTCGTGAAAGCTAAATATCTCAGACTGAGAACTCACCCCCTGCGATGCCAGTTTGGAGTGACAAACGAGCCTCTGCACATAAAATCATCTGCAGCAATACAGGTAGATACCTGTAGCCATGGTATATTTTAAATTCAAATATAGATGCTTTCTCTGAAATATGTCCAGATATTTCTTAGCTTTTGCTGTTGCCATATAAAATCGACCAATTTGCCAGCTGACAAATCAATATAGTTCAACAGACTTCAAAGACCAGTATAGGTGCATGTGGTATATATTGTGTTTCAAATTTGTAAATAAGGTTTACTCTCTAAGCATTCTTCAGCTGTCCTCTGCAGTGGGTATATGATAAAGATACATAGAAGGTTTTTGGCCAAAATGGCTTGCACAATCTACAGATGATGATTAACAATTTATGAAAAAATGGGAAATGTAACACCTTCATTTTTTACTTCAGCACTGGTGGACTGATATTTCAATTCTTTCTCCCACTCCTTTTCCCTTCAAAAACTCGATCTGATTTCATATCAAGGCCTTAGACTTTTCGAATACACTACATTTTGCATTCTGCGTTAACACTAAGAATTCCTAAAAGGACCTGGAAACGTGCCAGTGCGAAAACATAAATTTAGTCCTTTTACTCAAAAGGAGATAGACAAAGATTCCTCTTTTACGCAGTAGGGGTAGGTGGAACAAGGAGAAGCATAGCTGACTTCACCACAGAACTCCATAGTCTCTGTGGAGGCAGAAACTATGCAGAAAAAGTTGATGAATGGAACATGAAGAAAACCTTTTCCAGAAGGGATTTTTCCTGTGCATCCTTGTTTGGATTTGTTCAGAGGTGTGCTGATTTTAACCTCCGCTTCCTGCAGACAGAATTTTGTTTATAGGACTGATGTATTTACAGATACCTCTACCAATTTGTGACAGCTGACCTGTCAAGATCAGTGCCCGAGAAACTAATTTCCAGCACTGTTAAACACAACGAGTACTGCTGTTATTTGATAAGGCTGTTAGATTTTCATTCTTTGTAGAAATCTGCACCATGTTCCCACCAGAAGTCTGAAGCCAAAGGTTATAGCACAGCCATCAGCTGAAAGGAGATAAAGGGCTTTTCAATCTGATTATAAAAAACAACTGCTTGCAGAATCAGCACTGGTGGGATATATTTCAAAAATCACTGGTCTCTGGAACATGTAGTTAATGGCAGTCTGGGTGGGGTTTTTTTTATTCTCAAGTTACTGGATTATGGGAGCTCAAGTTTTGAAAACAGCTACTTTTAATAAAGCTTTTCAACTTAAAACTTCTTCCTAGCTTCTCTTTCTGAGGTAACCATATTGCTGGGAATCCTATAGTTCTAGCCATGTATCAGAAGCTCAGTCATCCAATAAAGACAAACTATAGGAAACTACTGTGAAATTCAGATAAAAAGGTAATTTGTTGGAAAATTCTGACTCAAGATATGCTTCTGACCTTTATCTATATTTACTGCATTTTCAACCAGAACTGCAAGGAAAAGCTCTGAGAGAGAAAGTCACAATTTTAACATGGTTTTCACCTTCCACAAGCAATGTATAGCGCCAAACACACATACTTAACACACGTGCAAAACAGTTACATGGCTAGACAGCCTGGGAATGTCAAATGATAAAAGATGTCATCCAAAGTATGCCTCATGAACCTGCTGTGCAGGATTTTGTCCTGAAAGGTGCTGATATCTGTCAGGACCTCCAAAGGAAACTTGATGTCAATGTAACTTTTGGGTTCCTGAGTTGCCATCGATAAATTGGAAGCCAAGTTCTACAAAGGAGTTCAGTGACTTTGTTAACGATGCAGCTGCCGTCTGCCCAACACTTGAGTGATTAGTTCCCCAGGGGAAATCATACTGAGATGTCGTGGTAAACTCACACTGGAGAACATCAGAAACAACTCCACAGAAGTGTGAAGACCCTCATCAGTACAATGAGGCAGACAATCCTTCTGCTTAGATAAATCAAAGCTACATGCATTAAACCCCAGTCTGCAAACTACCTCCTGTGAACTTGCTTAATTACACAGACAGCCTGCATGCCACTTCCTTTAGGAGATGGAATTCATGACAAAGTCAGTTATTTGTTACACATCGGTTTTTCTGGAAGGTCTGGATGTTCATGCTGCTCTGCTACACAATAATTACTTATTCTTTGAATCAGGTACTTGAATTTAGTTTTCCTAACTCCGCTGTGAACACACATCACTGCACTACGGCAAATGTCTGTCTCCGGTCCAAACAAGAAGAAAATTATCCCAAACTACTAGCAAATACAGTTGAAAACTGACATTAGCATACAAAGGGAATACTTAATGTTTATATCACAACAGTGAATAAGATCATCTACACATTATAGTTTATGATGCAGTAATTCCTGTCTAAATAATGCATGTCACTGCTATCTAACACCTTTTTAAGTAGGACACTATCCTAAACATGATCTACTTTTCAGGGAAAATGTCATTCCCATAAGAAATAAAACAAGCTCATTTTCAGCAAATGTATAGTAATGTTTGAAAGGGCTACAGTTAATCCAGAGCATGCATCTTCTATGTTACCAAAACCTGAAAACCTTTTCCTAGTGACTTCTTTGGAGCTAAGGTTACGCTATCCAAACAATTTAAATTTGGGAACATCTGCCTTGAAACTTGCAGAACTTTTAACAGACAAGCAATGAAAGAGATGGTAAGGCAGGCAGCTCTCATGCCATGAGACAGGGACACCTGTGTCAACCCAGAGTGCATTTTCTGTGAATATGCAAGCTGCTCTGTGCATGGAATTACATAGATTAACCTATGCTACTCACAATCTGATAATGCTTTCAGATTAAAGTTGAATTGAAATGGACTTCACTTTGAAGACTATTTGTTTCTTAAACTTCAAGTCAATGTAGGGTATATCAAATATGATGTCCTTGTACCACATATGTATATTTTGCATTTTGGGGCCTCTTGACTCCCTTTGTCAGTCCTGCAATATGGCTAAAAAGATTACTGAAACATTTAACATTTTAAAAACAGATTTTAAGCAAACATGATAATTAAAAATAACCCAAATAAATATAAACAAGAAAATGAATGTTTACAGGAAACAAACATGAAATAAGGCACTGGCCTATTAAATAAATGGAGCAAATTGGACACTGCTCTGTTGCAGTTCTGTGGAATAAAAGAAGCTCAATTTAAACAGCTTAAAAATGTTTACATTCAAGCCCACAATTCTTTTTTAAATGCAGTATATCAGTAATATGGGGAATTTGCTGTCATTCAATATCCTTCACAGCAAGGTATTAGTAGGATTCACACACTGGATTATGTGTCATTCTTAAGGAACTGACAGGATTCCCCGAAACATCACTTCTCTTTTTATGACTGGAGTTACCTGGAAGGTACCAAAATATTTTCATTTGAAATACGAGATCATAATTAAGAAAAATGTAAAACACCATTTTGGACTGTGCATTTGTATAATCCATAGTTACATAAAATAGGATTAGGAAAACATAAAGG